TGCTGAGGGGAGAGGAGCAGGGGGAGAGACCTTGTGCCTGCCCACGCTGGGCAGGAGCTGCCCCAGGATGGCAGCTCTGAAGCACTCCCAGCATGTCCCTGGCAACAGCAGGGCAAGACTGGATTTCCAAATCAGGCTGGCAATGCAAAGAGCAGGAGTGTCCTGGTGTCACTGCAGGAGAGTTCCAGCCCTGCAGCAAAGGCACAGAAGAAGTGACCCAGTCCATGCAGTGGCCTCAGAAGATCCCACAGCATCCTGGAGATGCTGTCAGGGAGGCCCGCTCTGCTTCACAAGTTGCCAGTGCCTGTCCCTGCCTGTGCTCAAAGGGTTCTCACCCCCAGGACTGTGCTCAGAGAGCACTCAGGCCTTGCAGCCAGAAAGGGGCTCACAAGGCCAGTGTGGGAGTGGAAAGAGCAGCTCTGCAAAGCCCAAGCTCTGCTGCTCCCTGGCAGTGCTGCTGTGCTGGGATTCTTGTCCCCTTGCCCTTTGCAAATCCCCCCTGTCCTGCAGTGTGCTGTCCTTTAGGAACAGCTGAGAAGAATAATCTTTGACAAAGAAAGTACTGCAGGGTCCTTTATTTTGTTTAAATATTCAGAGAGCACAATTCATCATTTATAAATCTTTGGGTCATATTTAGTGGGTGGACACTAAATGAGAAGGCAAATACATAATTATATTTAATTGCACAGAAAATTATTGCAGGAAGAACGCAAAGACAACTGTGGAAAACCTGAGAAGGAAGGCTGAGCCACTAAGGAGTTTCCTTCTGAATGCTACAAACCAGAACACAGGCACTTTATTCCTCCTGAAAAGCATCCAGTCATCATTTTCCTTATGGCATCCTTGAGCTCCTGGTTCCTCAGGCTGTAGATGAAAGGGTTCAGTGCTGGAGGCACCACCGAGTACAGAACTGACAGGGCCAGATCCAGGGATGGGGAGGTGATAGAGGGGGGCTTCAGATTGGAAAAGGTGGCAGTGCTGATAAACAGGGAGACCACGGCCAGGTGAGGGAGGCACGTGGAAAAGGCTTTGTGCCTTCCCTGTTTAGAGGGGATCCTGAGCACAGCCCTGAAGATCTGCACATAGGAGAAAACTATGAAAATGAAACAACCAGACACTAAACAGGCACTAACCAGAATGAGCCCAATTTCCCTGAGGTATCCTGAGTGTGAGCAGGAGAGCTTGAGGATGTGAGGGATTTCACAGAAGAACTGGCCCAGGGCATTGCCCTGGCACAGGGGCAGGGAAAATGTGTTGGCTGTGTGCAGCAGAGAATAGAGAAACACACTGGCCCAGGCAGCTGCTGCCATGTGGGCACAAGCTCTGCTGCCCAGGAGGGTCCCGTAGTGCAGGGGTTTGCAGATGGCAACGTAGCGGTCG